GAAAAAGAAAAAGAGAAAAGCAAACAAACTTTTGACACACACGCAAAGAACATTCCAAAGTAGTGTGCTGGTTGCCCTTGCTTCCTCCTCCCCTCCCTGAACGACAGATACCATTGAGAGCCAGCTTGTGTTCAAGCCGAAACTCCGCTCGCCCCTGCCTTAACGGATCGTCAACGCCCTCCCTCCCATCCGCTGCAGAACCATGGTCCCATTTATGACTAAGCTCCCGTTTTGTTTGCGGCTTCTGTTTGTGTTTCAAGACCTATATATTTGTTTGTTTTTGTTTATTTTTATTTTGGGATCGGCGCAGAACTTGGCATCTTATGAATAAATATATATGTATTTTTATGAAACAGGCAGTGTAAACAATTAACAATTTATAAAACAATATTAACAATTTTTGCTTCGATTAGCGAGAAAGAATTTTGTGCATTTTTTACGCAACAAGCAAAAGCTTACAAAATTGATATAAAAACAAAAAAAAGGAAAAAAAAAATACGAAACGCAATTTTTAATAAATCAAATTATGAAAAACTAAACATAATAAGTATTAGCAATAAATTAAAACAAAAAAAACTAAAGCATATTTTTTTAATGATAAATTATTGGACTTTGGCTCTGAGAGTCAGAAGTCAAAAACATTTATTTAAAATATCTAAACTTTCAAACCCACCTCGTGCATATGAGTGACTCACTTCATAACGTGGCTCATTCTTATCGAACCATTTCCATTATATCTACGATAAGCATGAAACTCCCACACACTCATAAATCAATGGGCAACGAACCTATCTATCTACATGTATAGAAAATATGTTGTTCATTCAGATCGAGTAATGATCACGAATGAAAAAAAAAAAAAAAAACAGATCTTGAGATAGTTCCAACTATTTAGTTTATTCATATTCCGCATTCTTCTAAACATGCTCAAGATAGTTTCCAACTATCAGACAATCTACTTTAGATACTCCCGTTTCTTAACATATTCAAGATCTTGAATCATTGGTTTGCCTCTGTGTCGAGGCTATATAATTTATTTTGAGGATTTCGTTGATGTAAGCGTAAATACAACTGAATAAGAAATGCCGGTCGTTTGCTATGCAAAGCGCTAGGTTATACATAGGCTGATATACATATAAATAGAGAATTATATTTTGTTACGGGGAGTATCGAGGGTGCGTGGTGGCCTAGAAGCTATCCTCGTTTGTGATGAACTCGTCGCGTATCTTCTGCAGCTTGCTAATCAGTTCCGCCACAGACACCTCGCCGTGCACCTTGTTGTCGCGTGTGCGCACGTTCACCGTTTTCGAAGATCTCTCCTTGTCGCCAACGACCAAAATGAAATTGAATTGTGCCAATTGAGCGTTGCGAATCTTCTTGTTCATCGTGTCGCCAGCATCGCAGTCGACTTCGCTCATAAAGCCCGCAGCATAGAGTTCATCGCGCACCGTCTTGGCATATTCATCGTAGGCTGGACCCACTGGGACGACCATCACCTGACGTGGTGAAAGCCAGAAGGGCCACTTGCCAGCATAGTTCTCCGTGAGTATAGCAATCATGCGCTCCACAGAGCCAAGGATGGCGCGATGTATGATAACTGGACGTCTCTTTTCGCCATCATCAGCGATGTAGTTGAGATTGAATCGAATGGGCAACTGGAAATCCAGCTGTATTGTGGCGCACTGGAATGGACGCTTCAGTGCATCCATAATGGTAATATCAATTTTGGGACCATAGAAGGCACCATCGCCGGGATTCTCTTTCCAGGGCATGCCAAACTCATTGAGTGACTCGGCCAAAGCCTTTTCAGCGGCATCCCACTGATCCAGTTCGCCCAGATACTTGTCTGGCCGAGTGGACAGCACCAGCTGGAAGGAAAAGCCAAAAATGGTGTACACATGTCGCAAAAAGTCCAAACAGCCCTTCATTTCGCTCTTGATCTGCTCAGGAGCGCAGAAGATGTGCGCATCATCCTGCTGGAAACGACGAACGCGTGTCAATCCAGTCAAAGCGCCCGACAGCTCATTCCGATGCAATACACCAAAGTCAGCCATGCGAAGCGGTAGCTCGCGCCAGGAGCGATTACGATTGTCGAAGATCAGGCAATGGCCAGGACAATTCATCGGTTTCAATGCGAACTTCTCCTTCTCCGCCTCGAACGAGAACATATTGTCCGCATAGTGCTGCCAGTGGCCGGATGTCATCCAGAGCTTGGCGTTGTAGATATTTGGCGAGATGACTTCCTGGAATCCGCGCTTCCTATACTCGCCGCGAATCAGGTTCATCAGCGTGTTGTAGATGTGTGCGCCGCGTGGCTGAAAGAAGCACGAGCCGGGCGACAGTTCATGGAAAAAGAAGAGCTCTTGCTCACGTCCAATTTTGCGATGATCACGCTTGGCTGCCTCCTCTTGTAGTTTTTCCCATTCTTTGAGCTGTTTGGGATCTGGGAATGAGATGCCATAGACACGCTGCAGTGTCTCGGCATCGGCCTTGCCCTCCCAATATGTGGAAGAGTTCTTGGTTATCTTCAGGGCCTTCACCTTGCCGGTGTGGCGGACATGCGGACCGCGACACAGATCAATCAGGGAGCCACACTTGTAGACCGTGGTGCGATCTGAGGTCACCTTCTCGTTGAGAATGCGCACCTTGAACTCATTGTACTTGAACATCTCTAAGAGATCCGATTTCTTCATCTCAAGACGCTCAAAGTTCTGCTTCTCCTTGACAATTTGCTTGATCAGCGTCTCCATGGTGCCATAATCGTTGGTGGAGATCTGTGTGAGAAGGATTTTATCACTACTATATACGCATGTTTGTTACGCTTTTATTTCTTACGCCCTCGCCCTCCAGATGCATGTCGTAGTAGAAGCCATTTTCAATGGGCGGACCATAGCACAGGTGTCCTCCATAGATTCGTTCCATGGCCTCGCCCATAATATGAGCAGAGCTGTGCCAGAAAACTGCCTGTGCCTCCGGATCGTCAAACTTGAGCAGCTGAAGAGTGCAATCGCCCTCGAGCACACGATCCAAATCCCAAACTTCGCCATTCACCTTCGATATGACGGTATTATCGGCCAGACCTTGGCTGATGCCACGGGCAACCTCATAGGGTGTCGTCTCCCAGGCAGTGGCATCCACCTGCTTGCCATCGGGCAATGTGACTTTGATGGGTGTGCGCGGTTTGGCTGCCAGCTCGGCTTCGTACTCGGCCTTACATTTATTCCAGAAGACATTTCGCTCCTCGATATACTGTGGCCATGGATTGAGCTCTATGGATTGAAGGTAATGTTATTAGATAATAAATTATCTATTCTTGTAGAGAATAAATCAACTGTGTTAATCATAATGAGCATTCACTGTACTTGTTTTACAATTAATTAATTAATTACCTTTACGACTGTCGCCGCCGCCTGCAGCTGGCTTTTCCTTTTTCTCCTTCTTCATTTTAGCCGCCTGCAATGCGTACACGAAATAAATCAATAAAACTCAATACTAAATTCGAAAAATAATTTTATCTTCGATGCTACGTAGACAACATACACAGTTAGAAAAGCAATTATAATTAATGATATTTTTGTGTGTTTTTCTTTTTTCGTGTTTTGTCGTTTGCACAGTTGTCACACACGAAAAAAAAAGCAATAACAGTGTTTTCGGCTCTTTGCTTTATCTGCTTTCGCAAGAAACTGATGCAATAGGGCAGGCAGGTTAAGTCAGTGTGGCAGAAGGACAGGCATTCATGACTGTAATTATGGTTGGAGTTAGTGACGTCACGGCTGCCGGCGGCTGTGATTCATTTTGGCATAAGTATTTGGCATACATATGACAATGCACATGCACACATGCATCCACAAACACGTGTAGAAGCACACACACTCACACACAAACTTATGCCTATTCGTATATGATGTGGCAACAACACTTAAATATTTAGATAGAAAACACAATTGGGAGCGGGAAAACCAACCAAAGTTGCGTAGCACCGATCGCTGCGTATGCCTTGATGTTGTTCTTGTTGTATTGACCGCTGTTGCGTATTGGAGAGCGGCAAGGCTCGGATATTGTGCAAGGTTTTATATCTGCTGCCTCTAAATGCAACCACGAACGGCAACACTTTTAACATTACTTAATTACGTTTACTTTAAAATACACTTGTGATCCAGTTGTAAGAATTTTAACATGCCTTTTGCTTATTCAAATCCAAATTATTTAATTCCGTCACCACGTTGTCACCCATTCCGATTCCACGTTGTTGTTGCTTTGCAGAATACTGCGGCTGCTAAATTTGCTCGGAATGTTATTTACAGTTGCAGCAAGTTATAACAGAATGCGATTTTTCTAATGCCAAGTAGAGCCGGGGTTTTGTGAAGCCGGTAGTACGACAATTTCAATTAAGAAAAGACCAAAACTTGAGGGGTTTTGGTTGGTAGGTTTGCACAATGAGTCTTTCAGTGACAGAAATATATCTTCTGCATCTATATAAAAAATATTGACTAACAGTGCCACGTGAGTAGTTTTTATTTTTTATTTTTTATAAATGAGCGGCTAATAATTGTTGACTATCGTTGCGATGTAGAAACTAGTCGATAATTTGCTGAACATATCGATTATTTATGCTCAGAAACATTTTAAATTCAAAATAAGTTAATTTAAATTGTTCCTTTAAATAATTGCGAATTGAAATGTAAGCTAAATAGAAATTAATTATGTCAATAGCAATAAGTTTAATTATGTATGTAAAACATGAAAAATGAAATATGTAATAAATAGAAATTTAATATTAATATTTACTATATGATCACTATGATGTTTTATTTATCCGACGGTGTCAAACCCTTTGAATATAAGCTCATTTAACAATGCGATTTTCAAAATATTTGGAGTCCTTTAAAAATACCAAGCTCTAACATTGCTCGAAACAGTGTGATTTTCTGCCTATTACTGGCTGGTCACACTGTTAGTTCGTTGTATCAGTATTTTTTTTAATTTCGTGGCGTGCGTTTGATTTTCGCTGGTGCTTCGCTTGATTCTCGGGTGTGTTTTTGTGTTTGTGCGAAGGCGCGCGCGTGTGTGTACGTGCGTGTGAGATAGAAAGAAGCCGCAAAGGAAAAACCGTTTCTTGGAAATCTTATCAATGAGTTTTTAGCTGGTGGCACAGTAGGAAAATGCTAACGCATTTTACAGCTCTTCTTCGCTTGTAGTTCGCTGCAGTTCTCGTCGCCGTTGCTGTCTGTTGTTGGTGCTGCAGAAGTTATTTGTTTGTGTGTGTGTCGACAGCGTCTTTGCTACCACGCCCACACTCACAACAGACACACGTACACAGCATGGCAGCCACAGTGTACAAACGCCTACACAGCGGCGGCAGCCTCCTCGCCTCCACAACGTCGCCCGCCCCCATAGGCGGAACGTCACCCATGCTGGGGCACTCGCAGCTGACGCGCTCGCTGGAGCGAATCCTCGAGGAGGCACACTTTAGCGGCGAATTGATACTGACCAATCGCAAGCTGAAGGATTTTCCCAAAACGGGTGCCAAGTTCGCTCTCACGGATACCGTTATTGCAGGTGCGTTACTAATCTTTTAATCTACCCAACCCCCAATCGTTGGGTGCGGTTGGAGTCTTTACATTTATGCTAAAATCTCCTTTTGTTCGCTTGAAAATCAATAATTTGCAGCAGCCCGCCGCATGTTTGCTCTCTTGCTTGCTCTTGCTCTTGCTCTCTTTTGACTGTCTATCCTTCTACTCTTTGCCTTTCCCTATGCTGCCATGTCCATCTGCAGCGGTTTTATGACTTTTTATTGCGTTCGCACGCACTTGCCATGCTCTCCTGCTTGCCCGTCCCCTGCGCCACTCTCACTCATTCTCTCTCGCTCTTTCTCTCTCATCAGGAACCATAATTATTGCAGCTGTTTTTACCGTTTGCTGCTTTCCATTTGCATTCTGCACTATTCGCATTTCGGGTGGGTTTTTTTCAGGCGTTTCTCCTGCTTGTTTCAAGTTCAGCCAACTTTCGTTTTTGTTGTGCCCAAAAAATGCAGCCAATACACACACACAGGCGCATACGCGCACACACACATACACACACGAACACCCACTCACCCACCCATTTAACTACCCTGATGAGCGAACCATCTGTTTTATTAAGTAAAATCGATGCAGGACTTCGATTTTCAGCTGTGCGCGTTCTCTTCATCTTCTTCCATTGCATCTCTCGTTTTTGGTGTCGTTTATATAGGCAACCCCAGAACAATTTAATTTTAAATTGTGTTCGTAACTAAAATTAAATTAGAATATTAGTTCATTGTTATTAATAGAAGTTTATTTATTATTAGATGCAATTATGCATTTTATAGTCTGTCTGATATTTAGTTTTATATATATACCTATATATATTATAGTTCTGTATGATATGATATAATTTTATCGTCTGAAAAGTTTAGTGTATTCCCATACATATATTTAAAAATACCTTTGCGAACCCGCATGAAATTAATAATTCGTCTTTTGGCTGATAACGTTTTTTTCAACTTTTCAACTGATTAGAAACTTTTAAGAAATTCCTTGCAATTATTATTTGTGCCCTGCGTATATAAAAATTCATTCAATGCAAGAACAAAAGTAAATTAAAGGCATATATTGAAAATAATATATGAGCAGCCTGTAAGATAGGTTTCAGAGGTTGCTTCGAACTAGTTCCATGTATGTGGATTATTTTGTTAGGTGCTATTAACTAGTTCCATCAAGTAAAGGAATAAACATACACAGAGTATTTGTATGAAATACATATTATGAATATCAATGAAGTAGCTCTAGGAATTACACTAAGTAAAAAGATTTTCACAGATTCTTGACTATGAACTAAGGCAAAGATGTCTATATTTTATAGTCCACATATTGGTAGTTGGTCTGTGCAAAGACTTCCATAAACGTCAATTGCTATTTTTCCTCCTCTATTTCCCATACCATATATCAGTTCTAGTTCCTTATGTGTAGCTCACTTATGTTCCAGTTGAACTTCCATCTTTGGCTGAAAGTTTTGTTTGTGGTTCAATGCGTTGCGACTGCTTTCCAATTGAGTCATCGCTCTGTCCGTCTCTCTGTCTGTCGGTGTGTGCGAGCGTGCGTGGGCGTGACTAATTAGCAATTAAAGCCATTCGCCCCTTTTGGTGTGAACATCATAATGAGACCCTCCACCTTCCAGTACGTAATGAAGTCGTTTGTTGCTAAATATTTGTGAATTATGTTGTGCCAATAAAGTTGAATGAGCAGAAGAAGAAGAAGAAGAATAAGAATATGATGATGATGACGGAAGAACCTTTGTAAATCTGCAACCCCAGAGAACGCAACTGGCAAAAGGTGGCAACGTCGTTTCGAATAACCACTTGAAAGAAATCAATGAGCGCCATAAAGCATTTTTTTCGCCTTCGTTTCGTTTCTTTTCTTTTTGCTTTTGCCAACAACCCTCGAGGATGTTAGTGGAGTGGAGTAGAGGAGAGTATGTGTGAGGGGGTCTTCTGGCTGGCTGGCTGGCTGTCAACGTTTCCTAAAACGATTTGTTGTTGTGGTCTGTGCTACTCCCACTCCTTTCAATCTTCCTTCCACGCCAACCCGTCCCTTGGCTTCCAATGCTTCCAGCCAAAAGTCATTTCGTTTTCACTGCAGTCGCCAGCACGTGATTAAGACGAATGTCACGTAAAGCAAACAACGAGCAGCAGCAGTAGACAAAAGAGATGAAAATAGGCAACTGCAACTGCAACTGCGCCTGCAACTGGCAGGCAGACAAAATCGTCTCGGCGACGTGCAGGAAATTGTTTAAAATAATTGCAAGCTGAAAAAATGTGGAAACGAAAATAATCAACTTACAGCAGCAGAAATAATGAGGATAACTATGCGAAGCATAAAAGAAGCAACGTAGGACAAGTCAAAGATAAAAATCTACGTAGGCAGAAGCAGATGCAATGAGGAAGATATAGAAGCAGGAATGGAAAGACAAACAAACGTAGTAGCGAATATTAGTGAATAGCAGAAAAAGGTAGCGACTAATCAATATAAGAAAAGAAGTGTTAATACAAGTGACCACTAAATAAGAAAATGCACAAAGAGCAGCAATAATTTAAGCTGCTGTTCAGCAATAAGAATAGAAGAGCAGCAGGAAAAGTTAGTAACCGCAACACTGGCAGCTGCGCAGTGAAAGATAGTTGCAGCTGCTGCTGCTGCGCCAGTGTTGCTGTGCAGCTAAACAAGAAATGGAGTTGCTGTTGATGTTGGCAAACAAAACGATTTGAAAGAAGACAAAGAGCAAGGGGGCACAAAGAGACGAAATTATCGTGTACATGTGTGTGTGTGTGTGTGTGTGCGTGTGTGCCGTTGTCGTTGCGTTGTAATGTGTGTAAATATGTAGCCGACAGTTTTGTAGCTATTTTTTTCTGTTTTATTATTATTTGTTGTGCTCCAAACACGCAGCAGAGAGGAAGAGGAAGCGACTTTGTCTGCTGCGGTTGGGCTGGGCCTGGGCTGCGCTGTGCTGGGCTGGGCACGTCGTCTGCGCAGTGACTGCCAAACTGTGATGCGTGCTTTGCATGCAAAATGATTGACAGCTAGCGATGAGACTTGCAAACGATCGTGCGATTATGTCAAGGGGGCTGCTCACGATGAATGCAATTTAGGTTAAATTTCACTCTTGTTGCATTTCTTGGGAATCGAATGTAATGCGCACAATATGAATATTCCTCATAATATTATCTATAAATAGTTCAGCAACAATGCTAGCCATAGATAAATAAACGTTCGAGCATATTTCAGAATTGAGGCCAATTGGCTGCAAACTTGACACAGAAAAATGAACGTTCATTGTGTCTATTCATTAATTGAGAAGTGTAAGCAATATTTAATGGTTTCACGATGTGCGGCAGCAGCAGAATAAATTGGCTGAGGCATAAACAATGTGAGCGTAGCACGCGCGTTCTTAGCACAAGAACTACGTTTATGCGCTGCAGAACGTGATAAGCACGTCAATTAATGTAATGTCTATATAATCTACTGCTTATGTAATACAATATTCTTCGCCGACTTTATACTGTATTCTTCAATTCGATTGCGAACCAGATGAAACAGAGCCATTTCATTACATATTGCGATAAGCATATTGTCAGTAATCAATCATTGTGTAAACGTTGTATTGACAGCAGCTGCTTAACTGGACAGCCGCTACTGGAAGTGCAGCGCATATCAGCTTACAACAAAAGCGAATGAATTAAGGGCAATAGCCACAACAACAATAACAACAACAACAACAAATTAAACACACGCCAGACAATTTCCAGCTGCTGTCTATGTGTGTGTGTGTGTGTGTGTGTGTGTGTGCATGAGTGTTTTTATAGCTTGAGAAAAACAAAATGCTTCCAGCTGGAATATGCTGGAAAAGTGCAAAAAAAGAAGAAAAACTAAAACATCAACAACAAAAACTATTAAAATGTGTTCAATATTCATTTTATTACTTGTTTACCGTTAGCGCAAACATAAACTTAAGTTTACAAAATGATTAAAAATGAAATATGCGCAAAAATTTCAGAGCACTAAACAAACACAATTATTCATGTGTGTGTGTATATACTGAGTGTTTGCTGAGTGGGAAATATTTGATTGGGGAATCTTGTGCTTTCCACATGAAATCGAAGCAACTGAAGCAGGAGACATCGCAGCGAGCAATACAATTATTGTTGTTGTTGTTGTTGCTGTTATTATAAATGTTTTGATTGCTTGGAACGTATTGGAAGAGAGATTGAAGAGGGTAAACCATATGGAAACTGTATTTGTTTGTATTCCCAGCTGTATATTGACAAATCGAGTATACTCAGCGATAAAGTAAATAGTTCCGAGGTGGGGCAAGTCTTAGTTTAGGAATTGTAAAATACAGTTATTTTATAGAATATGAATCATGTTGGTTAAGATACAAATATCTTGGTTTAAAATATTTATAGAGTGAATTCATTCATCGGAACTAGCTCAAAAATCTTTGGTTTATTAATGTAAAGTACTTTATGTTCAATATGAACCACTTGCGAACTAGTTCCGATTCTAACCGAGTTTAGTTTGTGTTCTTTCTTCTGAACTGATTCCGGTTCATTTCAATATGAATCGATATGGAAGTAGCTTTATATCATTTGATAAACATTCGATTTGTTTTTTATTGAGATTCTAATTAGTTATGAGCTAGTTCCGGTTCAAGATTTTATTTATGCGCTCCAGCTGAACTTTTTTCAGTGTGTGAATAATATTTCTATTTATATCTTTAATGAACCGGCTCCAGTTCAAAATTTGCTCCTTTTGCTTTGCAGTGCCATAATGAACCACTTGTTCATCAGTTCAAAAACGTTCTAAAATAGAGTAAATTACCCAATCTCTTGAGATTTCTTTGTTCAACCCTTTTGTAAGTTCCCTTGTTCCATATAAAGCCTGATTACGAAGTGTGACCATATTTGTAGCATATTTATGGCACGCGCTCTGAGCGAACTTCCAATACAAGTGCATAGCCATTTATTGTGCCGTAAAAGTCGCTTCCAACGGGTTACTCGAATGCTTTGCTCTTTTCTTCAATTCCATTCCATCATGATTCATAATGCCAAGCGTGTGCCCAACATCATAATCATCATCATCATCATCGACTGGGTTTGACTTCATCATCATTGATGGCGAAAGCCAAACCATAAAATTTACTAAATTAATTTCAATAAATCCATCAATAGAGCCAACACTCCACCCAACACTGCCGGAATTGCCAGTCACGAGTGGCAAATGGTTCCATATTTGTCATGGGGGCCCATGCTCCCAAATATAAGCTGTTGTTGTTGTATTTGTTGTTGGTTCTCTTAGTCTGGAATTTGGCGCCATCAAATTGAATTTTTTGTTGCTTCCGTTGACGCCCTTCAGTAATAAATGGCTAGCCATAGCTCTTAGTCTGCATTCTCCTCAACTTTTACCATATACTACTCTCAATATTGTATCTGTCTGTGTGTATATATATGTAGCTTAGTCTGGGAGTAGTTCCGGCAATATTTATGAGCTGCGCTGCAGGTGTGCGACATTATTCTCGAGCTGCTGTGAACATATTTCCAATTTTGATGTCGCGCCAACCAGGCAACAATAGCAGCAACAAAATTGATGTTGCTTGAAAATGAGCGAATTGATAATACCCTGCAAATAATAGACTTGATCTGCACAAGAATTTATAGAATCAGAAAGATAAAAACCGAACTATTGAGTTTTTTTTTTTGAAAAGGAGGAGTATTAAATATATATATACTTATTGGATTATATTATATATTATACTATATTATACTATATATTATATTATATATCATAATCATAAACTTGATATACAAATTATCTATATTAATTCATATTAAACCCATACAAAATAATAAAATTCCTAAATATTTGTTATAAATACTCTCCACTAAAACATAATACCCACTCTACTTATTTGTAAGGGTATTTAAAAAGAGAAACAATTTGATTTATTTGTATGTTTGTTGTACGTAGCACCCATTTGTTTGCGCATTGCGTTTTTGGCCAACAGCCAATCGACCAAAGTAGATGCAGTTGAAGAGTGAGAGGTAGAGGCAGCTGGCGAGTCAGAGGTAGAGGCAGCCCCTGACTGACTCTTAGGCATGTGGCAGGTGGCAGGTGGCAGATGGCAGATGGCTGGACCAGTTAGTCACTGCCCGCTATCGCTCGCGTTTGCTGTGAGGGAAATCAACGTAAATAGAATTTCCGCAAGCGGCCTAAGCCGATAAGAGCCGATATCAACTGATTAAAGCTGATATGATGCCACAGTCTGGGGCAGTCCTTGACGCATCCTGTTGGCGGCGGGCAAAGTTTATTCAACCGTCACTGTGCGACATGTGGGTGCAGCAAAGTGTTGCAACTGCTGGCAATGCCATTCATCTCAAGCGCTGCCTTTGTTCGCATTTGTGAGCAGCCAAGGGCGGGGCGGTCGAGGTAGGGGCAGATGGAACTTATGGGGATTACGCTTATGTGAGTCTGCAAAAGCCGCTCCCCAACTGCTGCCCTGCCTGCGTCTTTGTTGCATTCCGCTGAGGAGGTGAGCGAGGCATAATGCAAAATTTCATTCGTAGGTTGAGGAGCCACTGGCTGTGTGCGTAAATCAACAACAACAGCAACAAGAACAACAGCAACAACTACATAAGCAATCAAATGCCTTAACGGCTGTTGACAGCCAGTTTTTAGCGTTGAGCACTTGGAAGTGGCTGATGGATTCACATTTCTGGTTTTCCCTCCTCAAGAGCATTGCATAAGCGACAGGCAAGGCGAATCGCGCAGTATTCGCAATCGCGCAGTGTTGAGCAACTGGTTCCATTGGCTTGGAACTAGTTTAACGCGCGCTTTAATTCTATTCATTACACTCAGGTATTTTATCTAAAAACTGAACTCAATTCGTTAAGAACACGATTAGTATTGGGAGTAGTCAGTGTTGAAAAAGTCTTGAAACTTGTTTAAGGAGAGAGTTTAGAACTCAGTTTCTAAATAATCAAAATCTCTTTTATTTTGAGCTAGAAAAACATTAACCCAGTGTTGAATAGTTAATTGCAAAGCCTTGGAACTGTAAAACCAGATAATCAGTTCCAAATTATATTTTAGTTCAGTTCTGATAAAAAAGTGATTTAATAACCATTAGAAAATATTTGTATATTTCAAATAAACATCCCATACGGGTTCTATAAAAGTCAAATGAAAATGCTGGCCGAACTCTTTTACTTCAATTTTACATATGATATCATCAGAGCATTACTTTGATGGCCATTCAAAGTGTTTTTAATGGGGCACAAACAAGTTTAAGGGCCATCCATAATACTCTTAGCCGTATTAGGCAACATTTCAGACTCTTAAGCCACTTTTCTTGCTCGCTCAACAGTGAAAATTCTTTTGAATAGCAGCTAAAAAAAGAAAACAACGTTCAAGTCAAGAATTGAGGAATTTTCAGACATAAAACTGAGCTGAGTTAAGTAGTTTTTAATATAGCAGAGCTCTAGCGCTTTTCTTCAGAGAGGAAATCTGAAATATAGTTACAAGAGAAGATCAAATTCTAGTCCAAAATTGAGGCCATTCTTGGTCTAAGCTGAGCTAATTAGCTTTTCGTCCACTTCATATTTACTCATCTACCTACGCATATTATACAATCTGCCTCTAAAATTGCTTTATGCCTAATCGACGCCCACTCTAGGCGACTTTAAACAACTTTACGCACAATTTCGTGTACACAATACATTTGTTGTGTTTGCCTCGTTCATTTTTCCGTCGTTTTACCAGCATTGTCTGAGCACGCTATGCTATACCACCGCCCCACCCACTGCACCACTTGGCCCGCGCTCATTTTGCATGCAAATTCATTTAGTAAATTAATTGCCTATTCCACCAAAGTGGGGAGCGGGCCGGCGTCCAACGGACGAGCGAGTAAATCGTAAATTGCCGCCAGATTGAGGTCATGCGCTCCAGCGTGGCGCAGTGGAGTCGGGAATTGGTGTTGCCCCCCGAGCAACGCAGCGGAGATAAGGGAAACTGTAAACTCTTTCGGCATTCTCTTTTCCTAAGGGAAACTGGGAACTCCGTCTGCTTTTCCCTTTCTGCATAAAGTCAAATGAGAACTGTGTTTTATTTAAAGGCTCTTCCTTTTATTCTTTGGGAAAACTGAGAACTGTTCTTATTACTTCTCTTCGTTTTATTCCTAAGGAAAACTGAGACTTCTCCCACTCTACCCTCCGTTCCAAAAATAAACCAGCCAATGGGGCCCCTCTTTTACTGCCTTTATTAATGTCGCTCCCGCCTGGTTGTTGTCTCTTACAGATCTGTCCCGAAATAGATTCTGTGAGCTGCCCGAGGAGATCACAACGTTTGCTTTTCTGGAGACGCTGATGCTCTATCATAACACCATACGCAGCATACCGGAGTCCGTGAAGCAGCTGTCCTCGCTGACTTATTTGGATCTGCGTAGCAATCAGCTGAGCTCGTTGCCACGCGAGATTTGCTTTTTGCCCCTCCAAGTGCTGCTCGTCTCGAACAATCGCTTGGCCTCGCTGCCCGACGAGCTGGGCCGCTTGGATCAGACGCTCACCGATCTGGACGCCTCCTACAATCAGCTGACCGCCCTGCCCGTTCGCCTAGGCGAACTGCGCTCGCTGCGCGCCCTCTCGCTGCGCAGCAATCAGCTGCTCTATCTGCCGCGCGAGGTCACCTGCCTGAGCCTGGTCTCGCTGGACGTGAGCAACAATCGCATAGCCGCGCTGCCTCTGGAGATACGGCACATGAGCACGCTGGTGGAGCTGCAGCTGGAGAACAATCCTCTGACCTCGCCACCGGCCAGCGTGAGTACAAATGACGCTGATCTATTTGTCATAATATTATCTAGTATTTGCAGAAATATGCCATTGTTATAAAAACCC